CAACCCCAAACGAAACCATGCTAATTTATGAGTGATCTGAAGAAGCACTAATAAGACGGAAACTGAGATCACAATACCGCATGGCGCTGTTTATGAGACATGAAGTTCAGCAGAAAACTCGACCACACTTTAAGAAACGAAAAACCGTCTACTTTCAGGACTACAGGCCAAGACACGATATGTGGGTTGAAGAAATAATCAGTGGGTGCAGCGGAAATGTGCTGTCCAACGTAAAAGTGGGCCAGAGACAAAAAAACCAATGATGGAAACGAAGGATCTCCCAACCACGAAAATCAGCCTTACCTGTGGCTATCCTACTAGATATATTCAAGCAGTAAGCTCAGCCTGAAATCAAAAAGAACGGTCGATCTATCAAAGGAGATCTAAAGCCGTATGCTTCCGAGTTGATTCAGAATGCCCTAATAATACCTTACCTTAACACCTCATATTTTTTTTATTTATTTGAATTTGCCGCTTTACAGATCTTATTACATCATAGCCAGTAGGTGTTTTTCCTATAATTTTAGATGCTACCCTTTGATTGGTTTGCCTTACTTATAATGTAATATTGTTTCTAATTTTGGACAAGATGAAAATTCCTATATGCACTTACAAATGTCCTGAACGCTTTTATCGTTTATAAAATACGGTACAGCCTCCATATTCACACAATCGTGTCACTTATGCTCTAAAAATAATAGATAACAAATCAACCCAAACTAGATTCCCTAGATAATCATCAGGAGGTTGATTCAGTTGCGTCTTCGATACAGCAATCGGTTTGAGTTATTCTTATTAAAACTTTTGTTCCTTAACTTTCTACATTGCTAGAAATATCAGCGGTGTTAAAAGCTAGAGCTAATATGGTATGAATAACTTGATTGCGATGGAAGTCTTCGGGGGTATTCTTTCACTATAAGCTGTATTAGTAGGATGTTCTGATCATAGGACCAGCAAACTTAACGATGCTGTTTTTCTACTACAAACTTCAGGTTTTAGAATACATGTAGGGTGAAAACTACACATTCTCTCTTACCACATGGACTTGCGTTATCAGCAGTAGGACTGTTGGACAAACTGTGCGTGACGACCATCATGCACATCCCTTAAGTTCTACAATAACATACCATTAAGCCATATTTAAGTACTTCAGGATTAAATCAGCTTCCAATGGTTTGAGTAGTGGCGAACGCCAAAATTCAGCTGGGTGTAAACACTCAGTAACCTCTAAAAGCAGGAAGTAATGTCCGTCTACAATGATATCATATTCTTATAGGTTTTCGAGCAAATCATGATGATATATAATACTCATGTTATGTACTCAGTCTCAGATTCCAGCTAAATTAGTTCAAATACCATGTAAATTGAGACTTTGGTTCACAATATGATTTAACACTAAATGTATACAACTTTGTGAATTGTTCAATCACTTACTGACCAACTAGAGTGATACAGACTAGATTTAACCAAAATTCAGAAATGAACAAATACTGAATTATTATTATTATTATTATTACCTTGAATAAAGTTAAAGCATTGAAATGCACTTTCGTCACATAATAATAATAATAATTCGGAAGAATAACTATACTATCGAATACCAAAACTGCAAGTAAGTAAGTAGAGTAATTAGACTTTCTAAAATTCATACTTATCATCTTACTATGGATAAACATTAAGGTGAAACATGAGATTTATCCTACGAAATGAACTCTGTTTCAGTGCATTCAACGCTTATCTCCAACAAATTTAATGATGATACTTACTCCAAAAAGTGTATGATGAATACATGAATCTATAGAAGGATTTTATATAAGATATTGCTTGGTGTCGGCAACATGAAGGAAATCAGTGGAATAACTTTGAGCTTAGGTTTTTTGCTTTCTGACACATCAGTAACATATGTCTGCAAGGTGATAAACGACTGAGGATATGAGCACATGTCACCCAACTTCTAAACAGTCTATCATCAATAGAAATGCACGGTGGTGATGAGTCTCTTAAACTAGTGGTTAGATTGTGAAATGATTGATAGAAATCGGTCAGCACTTGGGACTAGATATTGATTACTCGATCTGGTTATCAATTAGTGGGTGAATATTGTTTATTACACAATAGTCTGTCTCATTTAGTTGCAAAAAACCAGTTGAATCTTAGTGATCGTGCCTGAAGTACAGGCAATAATCTAAGTAACTTTAAGATTAGGTAAACTGTATTTAGTGTTACAGCTATCATCTTACTATGGTCATAGCGCCAGTCTGTTGAAGTGACAGCAGTGGTGTTTCCTGATATTAACTAGTGTCCTCAGTGACTCTGTCTCACCAGTTCCAGATAAATGGTTCGAAAAATACCGCAACCCATCGTTCTACAAGGCATAAGTATCAAAACGAACAGGGTAGTTGCTGACAAAATTTCAGCTCTGAAGCAGAAGGTCCATTTGGCGTTTGCCAACATGCATTATTTGTGGCACCGACTGCAGAGATATCTAAATGCCTACTAAAAAACGCGCATACTACTTTGCAGTACATCTGTCCTGTTATACGTCTGTCAGACATGGCAGTTAAAAGCAGAAGACATGAAGTGGTTACCGGGTTTTGATCCCAGGTGTCTTGATAGCATTGTGCGCGTTTCATGGGACCACCATATGAGCAATGTTGAAGTCACGCGAGGGGTACTACGCAGGACAGGCAAGTCGTTTGATAGGTCATAACGTTAGTGGACTGAGATACCTTGGATATGAACTCCACATCCCGAATCACCACCTACCTACCTTGACGTGCCATGCTAGGGAAAGTTGGAAGAGGATTCAGGGTAACCAGACCAAGAGGTGGCATAAGTCGATGAAGTTCCTGATCGTTGGTCTGAGTCGTGTGGGGAGATGTAAACTGCCTGGTTGGGGTCTCCGAGACTGCAGGTACCAGTGGTTGAGGACTGTCGGCGACATGGCCGAACATCGATCACAGTGCCGTAGATGTATTCGCTCCTTTATATCCTTTAAAGCTTGAATATTCACACTAACCTTTGTCCTCAGATTGTTTAATCTATTACACTACTTCATCTTCTTTGATATCACTCTTCTTCTATCCACCTGTTTTTTGTTTACTTGTGTGAAGTGTGGCAACTTGAGCTGATGCACTTGTGTGAGAGGTTCTAAATTGACTTTTTCTGTCTTTGCCTGTCTGACAGGGTCTAACTGCCAATAGTAAGATTTTTCTTGAAATATGGAATAATTCAAGAAACGAGTCTGGGTGTTTTTAAAAAGGGGTTGGTCGATTTAGTGTTTCCTGTAATATAGAAATACACTCCTTGGTTTCACAAGACTACCGAATCCAACCTTTTCTTTATTCAGGTACTTCAAGAAGCAATGACTTTCTAGTGTGGACAGTCAGTAATTGTCAACTACCGAATACCAGCATTCTTCTATTCGTGATACAGTTTCTGACAACATGTGACTAGGGTGATCAGAAAAGGTTTCGCACCTAGATTCATACTTTCTAACATTCATCACCAATATGTCTGCAATATTTAGGAATTTGGTGTTACCTCTGTAACTGGAATCTGTTAACATGTATAACAGACAAAAGTAAATGCTATCATGCATATGAATACATATTATGAAGAAAACTATTATGATATGATATGGTACATACCTTGGTTGTTAGTTATGTGATTTATTATGCACTTAAATGACAAATATATCCAACCTGCTCTTGAACTCCTCTCACATGATCGATAAATCACTGGTTTCTCAATTAAACCGGCAACGGGAAAATACCGAGACGACTGGTAGTAACCCATCTAACTATCCATGTTTCATATTCCTCCTCCTTCCTTTACCTCTTGATGATCAACTTAATAGAAGTTGACCATTATATACTGTATTAAGTATTTTTAATTTAGGTGAAGGTTGACCTTGCATCATGAATTCTTTTCCTGACAATGACTAATGTAGTTGTTTAAGACCCACCAGTTGATAGGAACATAATGCGACCAATAAGATGAATAACAGAACAATGAGGTAGGAGTTATTCATTGCAATATAAATGATATATATCGAAATTCACGTTACTTAACCAAGGTATTTACTTAGGAAAGGGTAATATCAACAAATGGTAAACTGAACAATGCAGATGACGATAAATACGCATGGGTAATAGAATATATCTGAGGCCATCCAAGAAATCACTTCCAGGACTTCGTCAGTAGTAATCTATTTGACTTCTGAATTTGATATTTACTTATTGTATGAGATGGTTGGGACACGTACTACGTATGCCTAGTCACCAATTACCTCGTCACACAATGTTGGCTGAAGTAGGTCCAGGCTGGAAAAAGGCCCGAGGTGGCCAGACTAAAACATGGCACTAATGTATGAAGTCTCTGACTGTTGGTTTGAGCCATGTGCCGCGATGCAGACTAGGTGGTTGGGGTTTGCGAGACAAAAGGAACCAGTGGTTGGAGACTCTAGGGGATATGGCTTAGAACCGATTTCAGTGGCGCAGATGTATACGCACATTACCATCATCTTAACTACGCTATAATGATTCTCACCACTTTGTCATTCTTCCTTTCTTTCTCCTCGTACTTTATATTTCCTTTGACTGCATTCTCTTATCTTCATCCTTCACCTCACTACCTTTTTACTTGATGTACTGTACTGAACTGTGGCAACTCAAAGCGTTACGCAGTAGCACCTGGTCCTATGTTGATATTGATGAATGATGAATCAATTACAAACGATAATTATCTATCACATCATGCAATAGTGATTTCATTCAGCAACTATGTACAGATTTGTGCACTGAACAATGAGCTTCGATGCTATCTAGTTGGTCATATTCGGTAGTTGGAGTATTGTTTAAACAATAACTAACCGGTTGAAAGTAAAATATCACAGTCAATGAATCACAGTTTTATTGTTTTGATTTTAAAACATTCAGTACACATGTAAGCGAGATTTATTTAAAAAACCAAGAAAAAAAACAACTAAATTTACTCACCGATCATGTCTCAGACGAACACCTCGAACATCTGTTGCACAAGTGATTTCCAAAAGGAATTGTTGTTTTAATCCATCCCATAAACAAGCTACATTGCTTGACAAGCGTGAATGATTACCACCACCCAATATACCCAGCAAGTTTGTACGAAACAACATCTCAATATATCCCACACCGGTGCCGTCTCGGATATCAAATTCTTTAATAATATACATCAAAAAAACATATAAGATTAAATTGGGAAGAATTTCGTGTAAAACAATGTGTTATAAACGCCGGTCATTTGGAAAATGGTTATAAACAAAATACCTTTTACTTCAAATCAATCTTGAGAAAATAACTCTTATTGGTAAGTTGTGGATTCCAACCTGAGAGAGAATCTGTTGATAAACCGAAAACAGGACAAAATATACACACCCTTAGTTCCAATGAGAGTCATCATCTAACAATATCAAAATACAACCATAGCAACACATTCACACAAGGAATTTGTGTGCCAACAATGCCTGACGCATTCAGTCCAATAGACCAGCAGTAGGAGATTACAACTGATAACATGAGTACAAGAAAATGGTTCAATTACAGTGAATTTTATCAACTGTGATAAGCAAACGTTGATGAGAAACATTAAAGAACATATTGTTGATGTTTCAAGAATAAGTGAAATTCTGACTGATTCCATCAACCACCAACAACAACAAGCACCATCAACGAGATAAATCTAAAGGAAGTAGTCGCTTTCACCTACCTAGATAGACAGCATCGTTTCAACTACAGGCGGAGGCAACACAGATGAGGACCTCAAAACCAGCATCGGAAAAGCAAGACAGGCCTTCATTAACCTAAAATCGATATGGAGATCTACTGCACTGCACTGCACTCAACATAAACATCAAGATCCGAATTTCCAACACTAATTCAGTCAAGTTAGTGCTTCCATTTGATGGTTGAGAGACTTGGTACATCACGTAAAGCACTTTCAACAAACTGCAGACATACATAAACAGCTGACGCCCACGCTCACTCGGTACTGAATATCAAGTCAGATGGCCAGAATAAGAAGAATAAGCAACAAGGAAGTCTGGCTGGCTGGCAACAACCCATCACCCGACAAATATGCAGAAGAAAGTGGAGATAGATTGGATTGGATTGGACATACATTGAGAATACCATTTGGGGACATCACGCACCAGGCCAAACCCTCGAGTGGAACTCAAAGGGAAGACGAGTTGGGCGAGGGTGACATGGAGATGGTATGAGGAAGAAATGAAAGCTTCTGGGGAGTAGTGGAGCCAGGTTGAAAAGACCACAGAGAACAGAGTGAAATGGCGACGTGATATTGAAGTCCTATCTTCCACTAGGAACCCAAAGAACAAATAACAATAATAAAAACATAACAACATGTGCTAAATGCATATTCGAAAAGTTACTCAGAAAACTATGGTCATTCACAAAAAGTACATGGTTTTAAAGAACTCCTGAAAGGTATGAAAAGTATCCAATGGGATAATATCTAATGTTTCGGTTATCAACACCTAAACAACTTATTGGTATCATACGCTTAACAGTGTTACTGAACAAGAGGATTTGAATACGCTTTAACAATAGTGCAAACATTACACTGAGTCAAGACAGCTTTTCTTAATGTTCATCTGTCAAAAAGAACTGATGGGTCGATAAGAAAAATACATACACGGGGCGATACACACACTTTCTCAGCCTCGCTCCCCTTCAGTACAAACGAAGTTTAATAAAAACCCCAAGTTACAAAATAAAGGCTATATGTTAGGAAGATATAACTGAGGAGGAACTAACGACTTGGCGCAACAAGCTACTTGAAAACGGCTATCCTGATTAACTCATAATGAAACATGATTACAAAAATGACAGGAAAGGATATTCCAACGTCTAGCAGGAAACCACCATACATTCGGGTACAACTTAGAGGTGACGTGCTCAGCGAGATATGTAATTCACAAACTACACAGATCAATTCACAGAACTCCTGATGCCAGTAAATAACAAATTACGTTCTCCATACGCCCAATGGTGACACGGAGACTGAAAGATGAATTGCCTAGACTCATCACTTCCTGTTTTGTTTATCAGTTTGACTGTTCCTGTGGAGCCAGTTACGTCGACTGCTCGTCTAGGAATTTAATTTTCCGTGCTCATAAATACCTCCCAGTGTGGTAAAGACTATTACTAGCTCTATATTAGCACACTTGGTTGAACCGAACCATAAAGTGGGTATGAATAAGTCGTTTTTCATTCTGTGCCGGGTTCCCATCAAAAACACCCCAACTCTTAATCCTTCAGACTGCAGAAGCAGCAGGTTCAAACAACCAGAGTTATGAGTTCGTAAAAAGCAAGTGTTGCCACCACCTTGACCCAATCCAGAACTCACAAATTCCTTAGCATCCTATCCCACGTAATCTAATTTTCTAGTTTTATACCATAGATACCCCTTCATTCCTATATTCTGAAATAATTTTAACACATTCTCTTAACTTATTTTGTCCTCAAACATGAGTAACGTTCTATCAAGCTGTTATTCCTCGAATTATCTTTCTTAGCTTATGACATCCAACTCTCATAAACACATTCCTATTGTTTTATTAAATCATCACCTTATAGCATTACCTACAACATATAAACGTTTAGATAAACAATTATTTTCAGTTGAATCCCAGTAACAATTGGTTTTATCATTAACGTTCATACAAGACTTTTCTAAAGAGAACTCCCCCAACATCATAATATTATCAACAAACGGATAAACGAAATCTCAATACTACTGATGCATAATTCCTCAATATTCACATATAACTGTAGAATCTGAAGTAGAAGTTATCGAAAACAATATTTTTTGTTCATTTAAATGGCCTTTGAATTATAATGGGAACTTTTAATGATTTGAAAATCACTTACAATCATCAGTAACCCGCAGTGACTACAGGCAATCTATCCAAACAGAAATATTTATTGTAAGCATTTATCAACTTCTAGTTGTATACGATTTGGAAAAAGAAAGTGACTAGATGATTCACAAATAAGTTGCAGTACTACATATCTTCAGAGATCTTAAAACATATTTTATAAATATAACACATTTTATGTTCACTTAAATTAAATCCCCCTTCCACAAAGATTATATATGGGAGAAAAAAACCTGAAACAGCTTATTTTTAGAAAACTTCTGAAGAAAAATATTTAGATAGTGTTGGACAAGAAGGAATCAATTCAGTAGCTACACGCTTGTTCACGCAATAAGCTATGAGTCACATTTACTGTGCGAATAATGACCTCACTACCTAAACTGTCGAAACCTAAGTTCGAACCCATGACATACTGGTTGAAACTGGAAACTTTAAAAGCCATCCTAACAACTGTTGAAATAACCAATTAGGTTTTACTATTTCGACTAGAAAGTTGTTTTTCCACAAAATAGAGAACTGTGATTGGTTATCTGAGCAGTCGGCAAGGTGGTCTTTCAAGTTATTCTTGAAGATCGATTGCCAAAACCAAGGCCACTCTAACAACTGATGAGATAACCAATTGCATCCCTCTATTTTATTAAAAACTACCTTTCAGCAAAAGCATCAAGACCTGATCGGCTTTTACAACGATTGGCTAGGGTAGTCTTTAAAATAACCCACCCAAAGAGCCACTGGGTTCAATTCCGTTAGCAGTTCATTCATTTTCAGCTCCAAAAGAAATCTTAAACCGAATGTAATTTCAGGAACATAATTATTCATAATAACAACAAAGTGATATAAAGGCCACCATGGCTACAGTTGAAATAGCCAATTAAGTTTCTCCCTTTCGCCTTAGAAGGTAATTTTTTATAAAATTAAGAAATTAAATTGCATACATCGGTAGTTGCTACGATATTCTTTACAGTCAAATATATCCACGAGAATATACTGCTTAAAACACTTAACTTACCATAACGTTGCAGTTGTTTTAAAGGATCAGAATTAAAAATCCGAAATCCATTTTGCATACCGACTGCAAAACAACCTGTTAGAAGTAAAAAAAAAGTGGCAATGGTAAACATAAGTTGATTCCACACGAAATCTAGAGAATATAGTTGTGTCAAACAAAAATAATCAAAAACTTACTGAGAATTTTCACACAAATAACTAAACTTTGAATTTCTAAACACTTTTGGTAACTAAAAGAATGATGGATGTTAATTGGTTGGAAGAAGTCAGCAGGAAGCCCTGAGCCTCGATGTTTTGTTTGTTGACGCTCATCAGCAAGGCGTATCTGCAAATTTGAGGAGACCCACGTTCCCTGTGAGATGCGGTTCAAATTCCCGCTACATAGCTAAGTATCAATGAATTCATAGAAGACTAATCCCGTTCTAGAAATTGTTGCCTCTCAGCAAGTTGAAATACAATAAGTAAATGGATTGTAAACGTCTATCCATCAACTTGAAAACACAATACGTCGTTAATGGTTTCTAGGGATTTACCAAAACAGGAACCTCATGTAGTACTAGTAGACATTTCAATAACATCGTAATAATTAAAATTATGCTACTAATAATAAGCAACTATAGTCAAGTCCAGATGTTTCCCTCACTAAACTTTATTATTCCCTGGACAAGTCACTTGGATAAAAAATTAACAGTCCATACTGTGTTATTTTGAGGAATTAGAGACTCTGATTTTTAGTAGTAATGCACCGATCGGTTTCTAAAGTGTAGAGGTAGGCTCAATTATTGCTCTGAGATTTTTGTTGTTAGAATTTGTGATGATTATTTTCCCAGGTAAGGTTGACACTAGGTGATTGTGAATGAGCAGATAATCCATATCCATAGATTCACTTTGAACAGGTTGAATCCAATCTAGTGACAAACTGACAAATCAGACATTTGACAAGAAAACAAAAAAATTGACTGTTTTCAATACTGCTCATGTTGTCCTTAAGATATATTTAACGCTTTTATGTTAAGACTTTAAAATATGAGTCAGAAAATGACATCAACTGATCGATAAATAATGGTTAGGCGACCGACGGTATGTGGAGCTACTAACTAACACCTCAGTATAGGTTATATTAACTAAAGTTTTAGCTAGTGTATGGAGGTCAGACATGATCCCTTTCCACAGGTCTCAATCACTGTTACTCCATCAATTCAATAATGATAAGAAGTCCTCTCTTCATAATCAGTGAACAAATACCCTGAAGAACATAGTCTCCAGACATTCACTCTCCAACACACACACACACACACACACATCACCACACATATCCACAACCAACAATACCCCAATTTCTCAAACTAAAGCAACATAACACTCGTCGACCAACATGCCCTACAACAGTCTCCCTGAATGAAAACAGTGACGACGAGTAACTACACCATTCTGTCGAAACCATGGGAGCATTATACCCTCAGCTAACCTACCACCTCACTTCTGTACGTCACGAATATCAATTCTATCCATTCTCATTCAACCTCATCATACACACACACACACACACACACATGTACACTAATCAAGTCGCCATATCCTCAACACAATTCACACAGATCGATCTTATCATCATACGAGATTCTTTACTACACCCAACAGCTGAACACGCTAAAAAAATCTAGACTTCTGGACACCTTCACTGGCAATTCAAAAATCTTTAGCATACCTCTCTCCCCACCCTCATCCTAGTTCTTAATCACAACTCGTCTTCATTCCCACCTTCCTTAACACCACGAAATGAAATGACTCACCACCTTGACCAATACACTGATCTGGAAGAAAGTCACATCACTCAAGGTCGGTCACTCATCAAACAAATCTCTCCACTCATGCAAAACCCTCCATTGATTCCCACCAGCTTGCACCACATGCAACATCACAATGATATTCAATTGACTATTAACAGTCCGTTTCACTGAGTCCCACTCCCTTCTCTTCTATTCCATAGCTCTCGAACATGGCCATCAAAGGCAGACAACATGAGAAGGCTTCACATTTTCCACCACACTTACCTACGTAGTCCACACTGTGTCTCATACTATCACTCCGTCTGTAATCTAGAAGTCAGATAAAGAGTTTAATGTAGGAGAGGTAATCCAATTGATGAGGTTATGTGCCCTCATTGACTCAGGTGGCCGGGACATATGTTATGCGCACGTAGTCATCATCTACGCTTTCATACAATGTTAGCTGAAGTAGGATCAGGATGAAAAATTGTGGGAGGTGGACAGACTGACTGATAAAATCAACGTAGAACCTTGCACACAAGTGCATCAGCTCAAGTTCCCACACTTCACAATAGCAAACATAGGACAGGTGGATAGAACAAGAGTAATATCAAAGAAGATGAAGTAGTGCAAGAGAATAAAAAATCTTAAGTTAAAGAGTAGTGTGAGTATCCAAGATTTGGAAGATATAAAGGAGTGAATACATCTGCGACATGGTGACCGATTCAACCACGTCACCAACAGCCTTCAACTGACCAGAAGTGGGATAAAGTACAATACAGTACATAACCTAAACGAGATTGCTATGATTTGTGACTGTGATATGATATATACGTGAACTTACATCTGATCAAGTCATGTCTAGTGATATTCCTATTGGCTACTGTTGTTCTGTGACTGCCAAGTACTATAGTCCTATTGGTTATCCCCTAATTACAATTGAGTCTATGCTACTGTTATTCTGTTTAAGCTTGTGTGAACTGTTGGGTGAATCAGCTGTGTGACCTGTTTGTGGGAACTGCCTAAAAAATCCATATCACAATTACAATTCTTGTTCTCCTTGCATAATTCTGGAATACTAGTTTTGGTGAAAAATAAATGCGTATGGATTAATTCATAACTCAATTCGAAAATGACGCAGAATTTCAGCCTGCTACATAATTATGTGCCGGATTATGAGCCACACTTATTGTCTAAGAGCTAATAATACTATCTCCTTACCCAGGTCAAAATAAATGAAGCAAGATTGAAACTCAGGATTTATCTCTTGAAAGCCAAGTGCTTACGCGAGTACATAAGCTAAATTGCCTTCTGAAGTGACTGCTATGTATTCCAAACGTCCTTTACTGATTGGCAATCCATCTAACAGACGCAATGTTTCCCGTTTCAAGTGGGTCGGATGGCCTGAAACATCTTATTATTAAATTATTAAGAAATTTAGTTGCTACTTGTACTTAGGCATTGTAACTACCATGCCTCACAGTCCTTGTACAAATGTTGAGCATTTTTTCATGTGGTAGAGATACAAGAAATCGTGCTGAGCCTCATTCATAATGAATTAGGAGTCAGGGAGTTGCAAGAAGCCTGTATAGATCTAGTGCATATTCTCAGGATGTTCTCCAAAACCACAAGTGCCTTTTCCCACCATTATATGAAACGTCGAGCAGTCATATAGTGTTGCTAGGATATTTACTTGGACTTATGCAACCATATAAAGGCTTTCAGAGAGTCATTACCTATGAAGGCAATGCGAACATCTATTTTTGGCACCTCCATTTCGAATAATTATACTACTAATAAATGAAAAGTGATAAAACTACGTAAACCAAGTTTCAAAAATTGAGTGACTACCTTAATATGACAGTCAGAAAAAGATTATGCCAGAAAGCTCAAGTAACAAATAATAAAACATGACAGCGCGATACATCAGATAAGCAAGACTAACATGGAAATACACTCAGAACACCCAAGTACTGCTTTTTGGTTTCTTTTTCATTGGCCTCGATATTCAATTTTTAACTAATGGGTTGCGATTTTGAACTTAGTTCCAATTAACAAGTTCTAGGTGGCTAATGTATTACTAGACGTCAAACCATAAGTGTGGATCATTACCTACTGCACGGCCGTCCATTTGGTTGCTGAGTTATAAGAAGAAAGACGTGTGCTAATGAAAGAAACACTTATATCAATGATGCATCGTGGCTAGCAGTGGAATCCAGGATGCGCAATTCATCCTATTTGGGACTCGCCAGTTAGATGTACCTGCTTCCCAGTGAGAGATGTTGTCCATACCAGGGTTCGAACTCGCGAACGATGGCTTCAAACGCCAGACCGTTATCCACTACACCACCGAGCCACGGTAGCCACTTCTTGTGCGACGGCTATAGTTTCAGTATAACTGTTTTTATATGATACCGTCGTTGATTGAACCGAACTGATAGGTCTCTATTGGCATATGGGCTCCTGTGCGGATGCCTCGATATTGCCTGTGTTCTAATTATGTTAATGATGAATCATGGCTAGCAGCGGAATTCAGGATGCGCATTTCGTCCTATTTGGGACTCGTCAGCTGGACGTACCTGCTTCCCAGTGAGTGATCAATTCGGTCCAATCAACGTCGGTATCACATAAAGACAATTATACTAAACTATAGCCGTCGCACAAGAAATGGCTACCGTGGCTCGGTGGTGTAGTGGATAACGCTCTGGCGTTTGAAGCGATCGCTCCCGAGTCCTGGTGGGAACAACACTCACTGGGAAGCAGGTACATCCAGCTGACGAGTCCGAAATGGGATGAAATGCGCATCCTGGATTCTGCTGCTAGCCACGATTCATCATTAACATAATTAGAACACAGGCGATATCGAAGCATCCGCACAGGAGCCCATATGCCAGTAGAGACCTATCAGTTCGGTTCAATCAACGACGGTATCATATAGAAACAATTATACTAACACTTATATCACCAAATTTTCAAATACAGATCTTTCATTCAAATGCACTTTACTGGACCAGATGACAGTCTAATCAGATTATAATGTCTAAAAGGGTCATTTTTCTAGACAACTTTAGAAGAAATCAGAAGACTGATATATTTTTCTATAGCAAAGAGAAAATAAGCGGATACTGACGATAGTTATCGGTAATTTCAAATGCATGCAAAGTAGTAACCGAATAATGACTGATCATGAAACTTGATCACTTCAGATGATGGACTAATGAGCGAACTTATTATTTAAAACTAAATATTTACTCATCATAATATATGTGACACTGAATCAGTGAAATCAAAGTATATTTTCCGTATCTCCTAAAGTATAGTAATGAAACAACTTTCTCTGATTGGCTTTCATTATTAATTGTTTTAGTTTACAATTATGAACTAAAATCCTTTTGTAATAGCATCACAAGGATCCGACACACAGACAACGTTCCTTATAACGTATCTATAGATATTTAACACTTAAACTACAGATTAGGAACAGGAAAAAACCTGAAAAAACCAAACAGTTTCAGCGTCCGACCATTGATATATTAACAAGAACTTTATCTCAACGATTCGCCTCCAACTCTAAGCACCAAATGATTTTCTAAATGACTTAGTTATGAAGCATGAGATCTGGAACACTTTTCGGTGAAATAAATCAGTGGTTCGCATAATAAGATATTTACTTTTTCAACTTAGTGGTCGATTACGCTTTCACTTCATCTCATTTCTTCGACTAGGATGTTGTGAGTTTATAAGCAGTTACGGAAAGCAACACAATCAACATGAGGTATGCTGATTGAGTATTAAAGTTGGTACGACTTTGAACCACCAATTAGTCATCATCATCATTATTATCAACATAGGACCAGGCACTACTGCGTAACGGTCCGAGTTGCTAAACCTCATATCAGCACATCAAGTAAAAAGGTAGTGAGGTGAAGGATCAAGATAAGTGAATGCAGTCAAAAGAAATATAAAGTACGAGAAGAAAGGAAAGAGGAGTGACAAAATAGTGAGATTCGGTATAGTGTTGTTAAGATGAGGATAATGTGTGTATACATCTGCGCCACTGATTTCGGTTCTGAGCCATATCACCTAGGGTCTCCAACCAACCACCAATTAGTGTGATTGGGAAGTATTTTGTGCGGAGTTGTATGCTTCTTTTTCTATGCTTGGACTCAAGGGAAAGTTAAAACACCAAAGGCAGACAGACAAAATCAACATAGAACATCACACACAAGTGCATCGGTCTAAGCTACCACAATTTACAGCATGGAAACAAGTGGATAGAAGTAGAGTGATATCAAAGTGTACAAAGGCATAAAGGAGGAAAAGAAATTTAAAAATCAAGGTTAGTGAAAATATTCGAGCTTCTGACGATGCCAGAGTGAATACATCTGCATCATTGTGACTGATTTTCAGCCACGTCGCCAAAGGTCTCCAATCATTGATTCTTATATTTTCGAGGAATCCCAATTAGGCAGTCTACACCTCTATACACAGCTCAGATCAAGTCAGAGACTTGATAGACAGCTGCCTCGTCTTGTTTTGGTCACCCTAACCCTTCTTCCAACCCAATCCAACGTCGATTGATATCGTGTATCGAGGTAGGCAGTGGTTTAGCATGGACATATTTTTTCCACGCCACCTCAGTCAGCGAAGGTTCACAATCTCATTGACTTCATTTCCAGGTATCCTTCGTATAACCTTAGCTCATACAGTGATCTTACGATACGTAAGCAATTCTGTGAAGATACCTGTGGTCAAGCACTTGTAATCTCTTCATGTCTACTTTTGATGGCCATGCCTAACAACCGTAAAGTAGGACAAGGCGAACTGTTGTGCAGAATAAAATTCCCTTGATGTGTGGTCAAATATCCTTCTGGTGCCTGAGTTGATGTAAGTTAGCAAATGCCAAATGGACCTTCGGCTTCAGAGCGGAGATTTAGTCACCAATCAACTCATGAGAGTTGATGCAACTTCTCAAGTAAGTGAAGTGGTCAACGCATTCAACCACTTCACCGCCAATCCTTAAGCTGGAATTAGCTCTACATCAGTTCTGAAGCATCGTCATAAATTTGACAGATGTAAAACGTGTACCGAAAATGCTCAGATTTCTCCTAAAAATGCTCAGAAGATCCTGCATTTTGTCAGCATCTCCGCCCAACGGAACAATGTCATCTGCAAACTCCACGTCAGCCTAGCGCTCTCCAAGGAGTAGGTCAATCCCTGTAGTCAGATGTACCTAGGGTTATGTGCATCAGTATGCATATTACAAAGTTAAACAAGGATGGTGAAAGTGGATATCCTTGACGGACACCAATAGTCATCGTTACTTCAATTGACAACTTCCCACAAGTCCTTACACAGCCGCATGAATTCAAGCAGAGAGATTTAACTAGCACTACATATTTGCCCGGAACTCCCGTCATAGACCAACACTACCATAATACCTCTCGGTCGATATCCGAATGACGCTGTTAGGTCAAGAAGTATGGTGGTAAGTGTCAACCACTGGTAAGTATGCCTATGTTCCAAAACCAGTCGACGGACCAGTATTTGATAGGTGCATCCTCGTCCAGGTCTGGAACCTGACTGGTTTTCTTGAGTTTGATTTGCCCAAGCTCCAGTTAGGCGTCGTATAACTATAGACCCTAGGGACTTGGATACCATGTTAGTCAAACTGATTCCCCTGTGGTTGTCACTAAAAAACTTTTTTTCTTTCCTAGAAAATGGAATGATCAGTTATTTAGACGAGTTCGTCGGGTTTTTCATAAGCTGCCTAGTACCCCATTACTCTATTATTGATTACCTACCCCCTACCTCAAAACTTCTGTTGACAAACTTTCAGGTCCTGATGCTTTGCATCGTCTCAAATTCTAAACAGCCTTCTCAACTTTGAAATTTGAAAGGTCAACATGTTCATCTCATTCAGGTTCGGGTTGAATACTAGTTTTAGTCCAGTTGAACTGAGCTTTAAAGTGTTCCAACTAGCCTTTTAGCTGCCTTTCCTGACGTTATCAGAGACCCACCTATTTCATTTTCTTCTTCCTGGAATTCTTAATAGGTCTGAATAATTGCCGAGAACTGCCTAATGCTGGTGCCTTTTCCGTCTCTTTCGCTACCCACCACTGTTCACGATCACTATGAAAACTCTTGTAGTTAGTGTAATCAGAGCCAGCTGGAATGACTCTTTTTATACTAATCAGTTTGGGTGAGACTGATGAAGTCCACTAATTCTTGCTAACCTTTAGGCGTAGGTCACCGACTGTCATTTCCGCTTTTACATCAGACTAAAGATTAGTCCAGGTTTAATAAAGATGAGAACCTCTGCAATGTTCAGATAAATGCTTCGGTATCTCATTCGTAAACACAGACTTGATCTCATCTTTCAGTTGAATACGCACAGGCTTTACTACCGCCTGTTTCCTGCAAAAACAAGCACATGCTTGAACTAACGCGTGATCAGAGTATAAGTCCAGAAAGGGCAATAATCCTCCATCGTTACACTTTAACGTCGGCTTGCAGCAATACGACCTATATGTTTATCGTCGGTTTTATGTCAGGGGATAACAAGTAAGTCAGTTTCTCTCTTTATGTTTGAAATTGCTGCTCTTCAGGAACAAGTGATTGTCAGACCAAAATTGCAAAAGACGATCACAATTGTTGTTTTGTTGGCATGGGATTCTGTAGATACCTCAAACATACCTTCCCGATTGACTCAGCTTTCCTACTCAAGCGTTGAAGTCGCCTGCTAGTGTGACGATATCTGAACGTTTTGCATTATATAGAAAAATTGACAGCTTTTGATAGAAGTAATCTTGTATCATCCAAACTGCACTCAGTAAGTGCGTAGGTGAAGATTACGAATAAGCGTCGTGTCAGGACCTACACCAGTCCTAATTAATGCATTCAGTCTGTAAGCACACATACGCCTATTGATTGGTATGTATTTAAGAAGTGTGCCTTCTTTCCGTGGTTCGCGGGACAAGAGAAACCAGTGGTTAGAGACTCTAGGTGATATGGCTCAGAACCGATGTCAGTGGCGCATCTCAACATTATACCGAACCTCACCATTTTCTCATTCTTCCTTTCTCTCTTTTAGTACTTTATTTTTCTTCTGGCTGAATTTTCTTTTCTTTATCTCCAACTTCACTGCCCTTTTACTTGACGTACTGATATGAGTTGTGGCGACTGCGACTATCAAGCAGTAATGCCTGTTTCTATGTTGATTTGGATGGATGGATGGATGGTCCGATAATTTAATGCTATACCCACACCAACGAGCCACTGAACCTCCGGACACTAGTAAAGTGAATTTTGTAGATGATTCACATTGGCCAGGTGAGGTCAAGTGAATAACGAAATGAGTTCTGTGTGTGTATCTCAGAAATGCAGCATATACCAGTGGCTCAAGTTTCCAAAATTTTGGAGAGACGCCTGTTGTTCAAACTGACATAGGGTTTGAACACTGAAAGCTCGAATGCGTAACTGACAGCATGATTCTAGGAGACTAGGAATGGCCTTTTGCTGGCTTGAATCGTTAGTAATGGCTACATAGTGATGGAGAAGTTGTTAGAGGCTTAAAACGTATCAGGAAGTGAGGGAATATGAGAAAAAGGTAAAGAGGTTAATGTTAGTCGGGTTTTTTGTACTGTTGAAAGCAAGCAGGCGGTTGCTATTAACCAGCTGGTCACATCGTGTAGGTTTTTCTGCGAGGTATGTGAGAGAAAAGGGATTGATTTTGCACAACTGCAGAGCCCATAAGTCGTTTTCTTCACGCCTGTCACATACAACTTTTTTTAAGTGTCGGAATGAGGTTTTATTGTGCTACCACTGAACAATAAAAATCCATACCGCTGAAGCGGGATATGGTAGGGCGGATAGGAGTGTGCTATTTTGGGGACCGAACTTTTCTGTCACATCCCGCCCAACCAGCTATACGACTTCACCTCATCATAACGTAGCTGTTTACACAATGAGAGTAACTGACCTCTGTCACTACCCAACAAATCTTTTTGGCATGGTAGGATTTCAAGGGACAAGCCTTTCAGTCAGCGTACCTCGCTGTACGACTGATATGCAATCTTGACCATCACATCAAAGTAGCAGCTATCAGCCTGGTGCAGTCGAAGTATCACCTGATACGTAGGAAAACTTATAAATCACTCAGCCACTCAGAATAAACAATTAAACAGATATAAACTTTAAGAATATGGGCATACAATAGTCCCGTTTACCAGTTAAATTATAAACTAATGATAATAACAGGACTGTACAAAACACTCACCATAATCCTGATTGAATCCAACGAATAAGATTCCGCTATTACCGGAATCAGTTGGGGAGACTCGCATGCACATGTGAAATCACACGAAACATTCACAAAATTATCACAATTGAGCTTGACTTCGTATCAGCGACAATGTAGGGGTATCGACAGGACTAAATAACATACTGTAATAAATTATATATGTTATACACTCAGAAAAATAGTATTCAACAATTACCCAAATAAAATAGAAAATAGAGGTATGGATGCTTGCATCACTAGTCACTTTCTACATAAGTTTGTGATCAATCACTTGTAGCGTGTTCTATTATTAACCCACTGGATGATCAAGACGTGATGAAATGTATTTAAAATATATGTATGAAATGTTAAAGAAAGCGTATTAGTAGTTATCAGATGCATTCTTAACTAACAGGCCTACTTGTATAATGTAGTTTAACTATACGCTAGTGATGCTACGAAGACATCGACAAAGCAATGCTAGTAATCCCATTATCTATGTCCCAATCGTGGACCAAGACAAAACAGTAACCCTGTCTTCGATGTGGACTCCAATCATATCGGTATTTAGTCAGGAACCAGATCCTTGGGGCTAATCTATCTACACAAGTAGTCAGTGCACTTTACACTTTTTTCCATAATTGAATTCTGATGCAGAATTCTTCATAAGGATAATCTCAGAATTGCAAATACACTCGGAACGTTTCAAGACTTTTAAACAGAGCCTCCAATAAACTTCGTATCCTATTAGCGTCTTCCACCAAACAACTACGTCATTATCAATTAGGTTTATCACACCTGAATAGTGAGTACTAAGTCTCTCCAGCTATCTTCAGACTGGTTACATGCAAGTATTCAGAATAATATTGCGTGTAAGTAAACAAAGACATATGCAGCCCTCGTTGTACAAAACTAATACTTCACTACATGAGTAATCATGCAGACAGAAAAACCCAGTAATGACTAGGTCTTGATCACCATCTTTTCTAGGAATTCGTTTTGAAAATGTGTGTCAAGTAAAAAATTTAAATAGCAGTTGTGCACAACTATCCATTATTATAAGTCATTATGATGTGCATGCAAATGACAAAACCATCAAGGGAATCATGGTGCAGGTAACATAAGATAGTGCATAGGTAGAACCGCAGAGTCCTGCCGTCCTTGAGCGATTAACAGATGACCTAGAAGCAACCAACTGCATTTAATCAGTAAGTAGTAGTTCCAGGAAGACTTTTACTCTAAAACATTCGGTGACTATAGCCACGCTTATCGAGAATTCAGATGAAATAATTGCACACCCAACGAATAACGGACCGGGGAGGAGCAGTATGACATCTGAACGTTTTGCTTTCTGTAGCAAAATTCACAGCTCATAAAATTCATCCTTTGCATAATACAAACTGAAGTCGGTGGGTGAGTAAGTGGGGATTATGAATAGGCATCGGTTGGACTGACGATCCTTTCTATTTCTCATATATCCATTTAGTCAAACAGCGCATAAACGGCTGTTGACTGGTATCCAGTCGAGAAGCGTACTTTCTCCCTTACGGCCTAATGCTTTTCCTACAGCAGCGAGTCCATGAGAGCTACCCACTGGGTCTCCGGATACTCGTAAGGTGTAATTCGAAGACTCGACCCACTGGTCACGTAAGTTTAACTCAATAATCACACTCAAGTCCCGTATGCGTGTCTCAGAGACACAGTATACATCTATGGCTAGAGATTCAAGAGTTCTGATGAGCGGCGCTTGCTGTCCGACTTGATACAGACTTCGGACGTTGAAAACTTCAACATGAAATCTATGGCGGGATCTCGATGGCTTTGGTCGTTGGCAATGGTAGTAGAGTGAAAGTTTGGAAAGGTGTAACAGGTTTAATACTGGAATCAGAAAATAAAGGCAACGGAGACAGAGTTGAGGAGGATAGATTATGTTTAATTGGGTCTTGTGTACTACTGGAAGCGTGTGGGTGGTGGACACTTCCCAGCTACCAATACCAAGGAAGGCTATTCCTTCTTAAGGTACTTCAAAGAGAAAAAGATTTGTGACCACAGAGCCCAATGGACATCGGCTTGAGGCCTGACACGCAAGACCTTTCGAGGTTGTTAGTTTCATGTTTGGTTGTTCTAACACCTAACAGAGAAAATCCATACCCCGGCACCGAAAGACCATTAGGCAGGGAAGTGTGCTATTTTGGGGGGCAAACAACTTCTAACCTATTCTTCCTACGGGGAAGGCAGCATCAGCGTGGCATAGCTGGCCATCTAAAGGAAACACTTTACTGCTGTCAAACAAAATCCAACCAGCAGGACGACTTCACCCTCTGACCTCACCATAGTGTAGTAACTTACAATACAATGGTAACCTTTTCGTTTTATCACTATCTAACAGACCTTTCCGACATGGTTGGACCTCGATAGAACAAGCATTCCAGCCAGTCATTGTGATATACAAGCCAGATCATCACGTTAAGGTAGTAGTTACCGGCCAAGAGAACCATGCTGCATAACCCATAAACTTTTAGGTGAAGTCATGCCCAGATATCGGTCACACTGGAACCGCAAATCTATTTGTATAGGTACTTAGCTCGCAAAATCCAACTTAACACTGGAACAAACCATGTTGTCTATCGAGCAGTGGATAATTAGCACACCAGTTACAGGAAAAGCAGCGTTGGTAAGTGTGACAGAAATGACAGCATTACAATAGTATCACCATTGTAGGAACATATGTTCCCAAACTCTCTGCCAAATGACTGTAGTGTTCGGTGGTCAGCGTGAAATGATCAAGATAGATGAAACGCTGGTGAGGAAAAGGAAGTACAACCGTGGCAGAAACGTAAATAAAGAATAAGAATGGATAGGCTGATTATTTTTTCATACTTGCAGCGTTTCAGACCATATGTGCCAGTAGAAAATCTTCGCACATTCCTCAAACACGTTGAAAAACTATATCCACTGTAATTCCTTTCTAGTTTTTCACTAATAAATCATAAAGTAAGTATCCGTATTCTTATAAGTGCATTTCACGTCATTTGGTATATACTCAAGGACTGCATAATTCTTTAGTCCCTAAAAATTACTTATAACACTTCAAAAATACGACTGAATGAACACCATTAGAACGTTTGCTATTTTTAACCCAGTGAATAAATGTCGAGTAAAATGACTCTTGTCAGGACGAGTTAATCCCTAACCAAAAGCGCTACTCACTGGATAAAGGATTTGTCTAAGTGATGCTAAGAAGACTACACCACTAATGGTGTGCATTTTTAAAAATCAGACTACGAGGTCGACTGTTATATATTCGGAGCTGAATCCAGTTGTATAGATAGATAGATATAAGTAAATATAAGCAATATATGATTCGTAGGAAATTAAACAATTACCTTCCAATTTCACGGACAACTAAGTCTTTCTAAATCGAACCCAGAAGTGGATTGTGTATGCAGCAAACTCGGTTTTAAAATCTGTTAATAGACCACCTACGGATTTTAACATAAATTCCTATGAGATGTATGTAAACATGAGTAAATAAGGTGAATTATTCTCCATGTTCGTCGTGAATTCACAACTGATAGAACTAATTATATCACACGTAACTGCAAAATAAAACATTTGTATCCGATCTTCAATGCATCAGCCCGAACACTTAAGATGAGACTGCAAAACCTTCTGTAAAGGTAATTTATGTTACTGCTGTCCTGCACCAGGGTAGGTTAACGCAAGTAAAAATGATATTAAAGGAGAACATAAGTGGTCGAAGTTTCAGATTACTTAATTCAAATAATAGTTTTTCTGATAATCGCAACAACGAATTCTAGAACTCACTGGATGAATAAACATGTGGATTGGAGATAATTACAACGAGGCACTAAATACCTGAGCAACGCCACGCTCGTATATGCCACCTGTAAGTGGAAGTAGAATATTCAATACCTTTCAAGCGAACGTAGCAAAATTTGAGTTTTTGAACTCTCACTTTTTTGCTTCCATGATGGATTCTTTTGGCCTGGCTTCCCTTTTTCCGTGGACTTGGGAGGCTTTTTGTATTTTCTTGTGTTCGTCTCTTAAAGCTTTGTTTTCTTAATGATTTCCTCTTTCGCTTTGTAGACTGACTCATAAGAGAAGCTGCGAAGCTGTCGTGAAGATTAGATGCCTCTGTGAATCCTGTCTGTGTGGCAGCGCAGAGTCCCGAAGCCAAAAACTAATTAGGTGAGGAACAAAATGAATGGAGAAGCTAATTATCTGATGGGAAAGGAAAGGGAATATGTATCCAAAATAGTTGTGAGCATCAAGGGGAATAAAGTCTGAGGAATGATTGAGATAATAAGATGCTAGTTAAATGGCAGGTTGGGTAGGCCAGGAACTTATTCAGTAGGTTAGTGCTGAACCATGCGTTGCAACGTGTTTCTGTTACAAACATTCAAATGACTCCACTGGGAAGAAAATTGCTGCTTTTCTTGGTAGATCATGCCACAAAACTTCGACGTTTGGTCGTTACTTCGCCAACCTCCGAGGCATGTTGCATCGCTGGCTATCCTGGGTTGGCGGTAGTTATCTCTTAGGATGATATTGTAGCGTCACACACTTCACCAAAATCAATAGCCTAGAGTTTGACCACTTTTGACGCTGATGCTGACCTCGATACTTTAACTGGAATCGCTAAGCTGAAGGCACCCGGTCAAGCATCCTCGCCATTTGGTACGCTGTCGTGTTACGTTACACTGCTCGTATTCGACTCTCTAGACAGTTAGTTGGAATGCATCGGTATTTTGGCAAAACCAACCAAATATACTATTCCATCCGACTACGCTATCGTGTTCTTCCTTGGTCTCGTATTCGTGGATATATAACAAGTTCGAATAATTAGTGTTTCTTCTTTGCGTCTGTCATTTCGCACCAGGACACATCTTAATTTTGTGAGCCCGACGTGATCACATATCCCGACCAATAACAAGTATTGAATTGGTGAGCCTGTTCCATCTTATATTTGTATTTTGGTTTCATTTCGATAACATTTATATATCCATTTACTACACTTTCTCATGTCCGACCACACTCCTAAGCTTATTCATATTAAGCCGACTACGAACACGATCCAACTCATGCCATATTGGCCAGATAATTCAGAAACATGATTTCTGTATGCCGAGGCCGATTTTCGAGAACAGGGTGTCTCAGATCCTCAATCTCGATTTCTTGCTGTCATACGTTCACTACCGCGAGAATTAAACAGGTATGTTACAGCACACATGTTTAATCCTGAAGTAAGTGATCCCTATGCACTTCTCAAGGCCGCACACTTGAAGAAAATCGATCTCACAGATCGCCAGCGCCTAGACGAATTACTTCGTAACATCGAGCTAGGCAGCAACTCAGCCACTGAAGTCCTCGCACGCATGCGAGAAGTTATGGCTGCGCGAACATTCGACAATAACCTTTTCCGAGAACTATTTCCCTCAAAACTACCGCAACCGGTGCAAACCGTGTTGGTGACACTGCAGTCAGTCCCACTCGATGACCTGGCAACCTCGGCAGATAAAATACTGGAGATTTCTAGCAGACCCGTCTCCAACGTACATTCTGTCTGCGACAAACCAGAACGCCAGGATTCAGAGGTGACGAAGCTGTGCAACTCTGTGAAACGGTTGCTACGATCTCGGAGTCCTAGATCACGTAGCACTTCACAGAAACGCACCTTGGCGCATCGCAGCAACTCGCGTGGCTGCCCCAAAACTAAACCTAACAGGGTGGACAACCCTGAATGGTGCTGGTTTCATAATACTTACGGAGACGAAGCCAGAAAATGTCGGGAACCATGCCGTTTTAAGAAGGACACAGACTCGGGAAACGGTCAAGCCGGCACGTGCTCACGGCAACCGTAGCCGGTGGAAACAGCCGTTTGGTCTACGTCACCGACGTTAAAACGAAGGTCCGCTACCTCGTCGACACCGGCGCAGAAGTTAGCGTTCCTCCCGCACCGACAGAGGAGCGTCATCACGACCCATCCTTCAATCTTCAAGCAGCCAACGGCAAGGCAATCACGACATTCGGGAGACAGTATGCCTACCTCAACTTAGGTTTACGTAAACCTATCCACTGGATTTTCCCCCTTGCTGACGTCTCTATGCCCATCATTGGCATAGATTTGCCAAGCCATTACGATCTACTCGTAGATGCTCGCCGTCGGCGACTGATAGATAACAACACAAAGTTGTCTATTGGCGGCGCCACCTATGTAGGTCCGAGTTTAGCCATCCTTAGAACTAAACAATCAGGCGACGCGTCCTACCAGGCAGTTCTGGAGAAATATCCAGGGTTGTGACAACCGACGCACACTCTTCCGTGCATAACCAGCAATGTCATACATCACGTGACAACCACAGGTCCACCTGTGGCATCCAAGGCACGCCGTCTGGCCCCCGACAAGCTCAAAACGGCGAAAAGCGAATTCAACCACATGCTCGAACTGGGCATTGTCAAACCGTCAAACAGCCCTTGGGCATCACCACTGCGCATGATTCCCAAAAAGGATAGCAACGACTGGCGCCCAACCGGTGATTACCAAAGGCTTAACGCCAAAACAACTCCGGACTGCTACCCGATACCTCACGTTTACGATTTGACTGCAACCTTATGCGGAATGAACATTTTCTTCAGAATCGATTTGGTCAAAGCGCACAACTAGATACTTATGGCAGCAGAAGGTATCGCGAAAACAACCATTATTACTCCTTTCGGCATGCCATTTGGTCTTCGGAATGCAGCACAAACATTCCAACGCTTTATGGATGATGTCTTCCGTGGTTTGAATCTTGTTCATGTCTACATCGACGACTGTCTAATTGCGAGTCCAGATAAGGAAACCCACCTTAATCATTTGGACCTGGCATTCGAAAGACTAAAAAACATGGCATCACAGTCAACTTACATAAGTGTGAAATAGGAGTTGAATCACTCAGCTTCCTTGGGCATACCATTGACAACAAAGGTACGCGCCCATTGAGAGATAAAGTAGTGGCTATCACGAACTATCCAGAGCCGACCACTGTGAAACATCTCCGTACTTTCGATGCCCTGGTAAGTTATTACCGAGGGTTTATCCCTAACTGTGCCTCTGTCATGAGACCACTAACAGATCTACTTTGAGGAACTACGAAGTTCGTGACCCTGGACAACATGGCTGGACTTTCTTTCTCTAAAGTCAAGGAAGCCATTTCGAACGCAACCATGCTCATGCATCTCGACCTCAATGCTTCTTTGAGTACTGCTGTTGATGCATCTGATTCACCAATTGGAGCAGTTTTGCAGCAATTGACTGACAACCAGTGGCAACCGTTAGCCTTTTTCTCGAGGCGGCTGCAAGACGCGGAAACAAGATACAGTACGTTTGGTAGGGAACTCCTAGCTTTGTACTGTTCTGTACGTCACCTTCGACATTCTGTGGAAGGCCGTGATTTCATTATTTTCACAGACGGCGAGAATGCTTGACCGGGTGCCTTCAGCTTAGCGATTCCAGTTGAAGTATCAAGGTCAGCATCAACGTCGAATGTGGTCAAACTCTAGGCTATTGATTTTGGTGACTTATGTGACGCTACAGATCACTCCCCCTAGTTTGTTCGTGAGGACCCTAGGACGATACCAGCCGGAAGTAAAAACCCAGTGGTTTCTTCACTGGTAAAACTCTTCCGATGGGCTCACTGCGTGAAATAGCCGCTGGCTATCTTAACTTATTCTAGGGTGTCGTGGCAATTGAAAAATAAAATACGATAAATCAAGTTGTACGTCGATCGTTATCCTCAGTTTTCTCTTACGTTCCGTCCAGTGCTCGTTGCACCTGGAATATAAATGAAAGTAATGCCATGAAAAGCTGTTGCAAAATGGGAATTATCTATATATAAACATATCGAAAAATAAAAATTTACGCTTACTTTCACCGCTAGGTTGAATACGACTTCAAATACCCCGGTAACCTGACGGTTCGACCTGATCGTGTTTTCTGTTGCGCCGATGGGTGTTGCAACTGTGCATTACCAGGGACATCGTCAAGAGTTTCGATAATTGAGCCATCCGTCGGTCGGCTGTAGCGAGCTGAAACGTCACTTATAATGGGTTTGCCTTCGAAATAAGCTGGTTTCAAACGGTCGATACTGACAGTATCTTCACGTCCGTCTCGCTCAATTATAGAATTTCTCGTGTCGCTTAATCACTTTGAACGGCCCGTCGTAGGGTGGTTCAAGTGGTCGACGAACAGCGTCGTGGCGAACAAACACGTGTGATGTCTTCTGTAAACTGGGGTGGACGAAAACATCAGTCGTTTGCGGTCTAATCGGAGAAGGCCTAACTGAACGCATTGCGTTTGTAAGCCTAGTCACGTAAGATGCCCTGTCGGAAACATGTTTGAAAGTTGAAGGGGAAACAAACTCACCTGGTAGGCGAAGAGTGGTCCCATAGACGAGTTCTGCAGGAGTGCATCCAGCATCAACTTTCAACGCGTTACGAATACCTAGTAGGACTAGAGGCAGAGCCTCGGTCCACTGAGGTATGTTTGTAGCTGAAAGGGAAGCTTTCAGCTGTCGATGGAAACGCTCTACCATGCCATTTGCTTGTGGATGGTAGGCTGTCGTTCGGAACCGAGTGCAACCTAAAAGTGCCGTTAGAGCGTGAAATAATCCACACTCAAATTGGCGCCCACGGTCGGTTGTGACGTAGATGGACATCCGAAGTTCGCGATCCATCTTTCGACGAAAACACGAGCAACTGTTTCGGCAGTAATATCTTAATAGGTACTGCTTCCGGCCATCGTGTGAAACGATCAACACAGTGAAAAGGTAGGTACATCCATTAGATTCTGGTAGGGGTCCTACAATATCTATATGGACGTGGTCGAAACGCATGTCTGGGGCTAGAAATGAGCCTAAAGGGCTTTTCGTGTGTCGCGTGACTTTA